AAAAAAAAAAAAAGTCTCTTAATCGCTGGATGATTAAAAATCTGAAGAAAGAGTTTGTAGATGCGTGTCATGCACTGTGGCAGCAACAACAAGAGTCCTGAGATCTGTGGAGGGGAAAAGCGTTGACACAACCCTTGGGCCAAACAGAAAGTGTTAGGAGGGGCTTGACCGAGGCATGGAGAGAATCCGCCCGTTCTTCTTGCCGCCGTTCATGTGAGTGTAAGGTATGTGCTCTTCGTAGTTCCCCTTGAGGCCCATGGAGGGCCCATTGTCCCGCCCCAGGACTTTGTCCCTCTGCGAGTACGATGAGGGGTCCAGGGGAATGCTCTCCATGTTCTCAAAGTCCATCTCAAACTCCTCCGTGTCCGGAGGTTTATTTTCTTCACTGTAGAAGAATGAGACCTCCTGGAAGCTGGGGTGGAGGTCCTCCTTCAGCATCTCAATGATCTCAATAAAGGTGGGGCGCATCCTGGGGTTGTACTGCCAGCACATCTGCATCAGTCTGTGCCTGTAAGGGAACAAACAAGAGAATCAGGATCTGGCAGGGGGTTGCCATCCCGGACACTGGCCGGCACCAGACCCGGAGGTATCTAGTCTCTGAGCCCCCATCGGGGCAGACTGCCTGCAATCGCTGCCACTCTCCTGAGCACTCTCTCCTCCTCTCTTGCTCTCCTCCTGTTTTCTGCTTCTCTCTACAGTCTCCTGCTCCTTCCCTCGGCTCCTGCCAGGGCCTGCAGCTCCCGCCAGCTCCTTCCAGGCCATGTTTATTCCTGCACCAGGTCTCAGCTTCGCCATCTCCAAACTGCTCTGGGGAAGTTCTTGTTGAGCCTCCCTGCATCTCATCCCTGCAGCATCCCCACCCACCTCTGCCCACTGCTCGCTTCTGTAGGCAGCCAAGCCCTGTCCACATCCCAGACCAGGACCCAGAAACCGCCCTGGAAGGTGAGTGGTGTCACGCAGGCCAGGCCATCAACAGCGCAGGGCCACCCGAGTGCAGGAAACATGAGGAGAGACGAGCCCCACTGCTAGGAGCAAAACAATCTTGGTGGCCTGCACCAGGCGTGGGGATTCAGTCTAGAGGGGGCTTGAACAGCCACGTGCCATTTACCACTCCGGGCACGCTCGCCATCCCTTTAGCACTCCTATCAGTGGGAAAGTGACCCTGCAGCTGCCTCAGCATGAATCCTGGCAGTCGAGCCCTAAGCACAGTGCAGCACGGAAGAGCTGACAAACCAGCAGGGGAGGGACTCAGCAAGGCAGCTGCCCTTTCCTCACGAGGCAGACACCTGGCCAGCAGCCTATGGAGAGCCGCCTTCCTTCTGGCCTAGCAGCGGCCCAAGAGGAACCTGCACTTCGCACAGCAGTGCCAGTGCAGAGAGCCTCCCCAGGACAGCAGCATCTAGGATCTCTGGATTAACACGCAGCTCTCCCGCATCCACAGCCAAGGCAAACTACTGCGCAGCCACCAAGACCCTGCCCGGCACACTGCTTGGGGCCCCTAGGCTGCCTAGGACCAGCGCTTTCAGGCAGGGGCGGCTGACGCATTGCTTGCTTGTATTTTACACTCCCCAAGTCTGAACTCTCAGGTTTCAGCTGCCTGTTCCTACACTACAAGAGCCAGGTTTGTTCTCCTTTCTGGTTGCCTGGGCTGGCTCATGACCATTATTTTCCACTCTGGTCACTTGGGGTAGGGGGGCTGCATTTTCCTTGGTGGGTGGCTCTCAGCCTGCTGCTCTGCTCCTTTCGTTCAGAGCGTGCGTGTGCAACCTGTGCTGACTGTACACTGGCAAAGAGGCAAAACTCAGGCACTCCCGGCTCGCCTGTTGTACTTACAGTCGCTCTGGACAGTTGTCTGGCTGATCCAGGTACCCTCCGTCCATTACAAATTTTAGCACCTGTTCGTTGGACAGTCCCTGGTACGGCTGCTCCGCCAAGCTACTTATCTCCCAAAGCACAACTCCGAATGACCTGCAGAAGATCACGCCCTTTGTCAGGCAGGCACAGACAATCTACAGATAACATCTTCAAACCCGACTGGGGGAGGATTTTAGCAAGTGCACTATTTCTGAAACTGCATTAAGAGTGCATCATAAAGAGCTGAGCTCTCACACAGAGACTGAGGTAAGTGACCCGCTGTTGTGGCTCCTACTACCCGTCATCCTGACATGCAGGGTACAACTTACCACACATCTGAGTAAGTAGTAAAGACGCCATCCTTCAGCGACTCGGGCGCCATCCACCTCACAGGCAGCAGTCCTTTGCCTCCCTTACGGTAATAATCGGTCTCGTAGATGTCTCTGGTCATGCCGAAGTCTGACAGAAGAAAGCAGCATGCGCTCAGCGTCACTGCCCCGTGCCCAGCCCAGCCCTGCTGGCGACTGGAAGGGCGAGGATGGTCACCGAGCACGCACTGTCCTACCACACGCAATCACTGCAGCGGGCAGGGCCAAGCTGCCCGTGGGGGCCTTCTCTTTGGGCCACCCCTCAATCTCTGCAGCACCAGCGCCAGAACCTCCTGCGAGACTTACGGCAGGCACGGCTCTAGAATAGGCTCTCAGCCTCGGCCTCTTTCGAGTTGAATGCACACACAAGTTTAACGGCCAATCGGAACATCGCACAGCCTGGGCCTTTTGAGGTCTCCTTTTCCTGAGGCTTAACTCGAGCTGCTGCAAGGTTAAATTAGGCAGTTCACTTACCTGCAGTTTTGGGCACGGCAAGTGAAAGAGAGACCTGACACAAGAAAATTAGCCCAGATAAAGGACTTGAAAGGACAGACAGCAGCCATCCTGGATTTCACACAGCCTCCTCCCTCACTAACTGAGGCTTGCTACCAGCTTTGGAGCACACGACACATACCTCCAATTTTTACAGTAAAGTCTTCTGCAACCATGCAATTACGAGCTGCCAGGTCTCGGTGGACAAATTTTTTGGCATTCAGATAAGCCATACCATCAGCAATCTCTGCAGCCATCTGTATCATCTCCCTGAGAGTTGGTGGGGGACGGCCAGGGTTATTCTACGATGGAGAGAAAAGGTCAGAGACCACAGCCAAGCAGTTTGTCTGGGGCATCTGCATCTCCTTGCTCCTGCCTTTACCTCAGCATCAGGTCTCAGGGAACGCAGGTAGCTTTTCATATCTCCATGTGCCATCAGCTCCATGACAACCAGCGTAGGCTGGCCTTTGGAGACCACCCCTAGGAGACGCACCTGAAAAACAGAAGTGGGATTCCCTGTTAGACCGTGTCCAAGCACGTGTGCCCACCAAGCCAGCATTTCCCTGGCTGCTGACTGCGACAAGACATGGGGCCTGACCACACCATGGACTTGTGGAGCAGGATGCACTTTCCAAACCGCTCCTTGGGTGACCCTGTTCTGCCTTTAACACACGTGGCCGCCTTTGCAGCGGGACCTGCCCAGCCCACAAGCTGGATGGAGCCACGGGAGCTCCACCCAAGATGGAGACGCTTCACTTACCACATGATGGCAACTGAACCCTTTCATGACTGAAGCTTCGTTCAGAAACTCGATGCGCTCCCGAAGACTGGCAGATTCGTTCACGGTTTTCACGGCGACCCGGGTCTCCGGCTCCCCTTTCACGATGTCTTTGGCGATCCCTTCATACACCATCCCAAAGGAGCCTTGACCCAGCTCACGGAGGAGGGCAATCTTGTCTCGGGCCACTTCCCATTCATCGGGGACATAAACTGTAACACAGACAGACATTGGGGTGAGCAGGGCTGTCGCCAGGAGGGGTTCTCACAGCAGGGGCTGAGCCCCACAGGAATTGAGTCTGGGAGCCCCTGGACCTCTGGCACAGTCCTCCACAGCACAGAGCAGAGGGTTGGGGATGAGACGGGGACATGTCCTCCCCTCTGCATGGCCAGTTACTCCTGTGCAAAGCAAATGCAAAGCACTGCTTCCTCAGGGCAATGCACGGCACGCCCAGGCTGCCCTGCTGTCAGTCGCCGCATGAGGGCAGGAGCTGAGTCCAGTCCAGCTCACGGCAGCGCTCGTTGCCTTGGCAATCTGCACCAAGGGAATCTGCCGTGCGAGCAGCAGAACCGCAGCTGCTGGTCAACAGCAGAGTGGAAGGTGGGTTGTGATCCTAGACTAGTCCTGGAATGACACTGGCCGCCTGCACTGACGCTCGCTGCTCCAACACCAGTGGCCTCTCCTGGACCGGATCCAGAATTCTGCACTGAATTTGCTGCCCATGAAGACGCAACAAGTCTAAACAAATGAAGGACAGAAAACTGTTCTCAAATTTAAAACGCTGAACTAACCCTGCTGTTCCCAGGCTGGGAGCCTTGCTCCGGGGAGACCTAGGCTGTGGCCAACCAAGACTGCTGCACTGCAGTGGTGGACAAAGGGAGACACCAACAAGCAGCTTCCTGCACCCCCAAACCTTTCCAATGCTGCGAGGTTGGATGTGCAGCCCTCAGCTAAAACTTAAACACAGAGACCATTTGTTCAAACTGACTGGCCACGCACAGCAAGAGGCAGAAACAGCTTCCCAAGCTAATGCACTGAAAAGCAATCTGGGAGATGGAGGGCAGGTGGGAGACAGAAGTGTTGACTCCAATCCCAGGAGACGTTCTTTGGAAAGCACTGCGTGTCAGAGGCTTCCACTTCTGCTGCAAGAGGTCAAGGTTCCCGAGGGGCTAACCCTCAGCAAAAAGTCCTGGACAAACAGAACAGCCGACACAGGCAGCAAAACACCAACACCTCCTTCCTTACAGCTCCTGTGCTGTAGCCACCAACCCAAGACAGCAAGCTCATTAACAGCACAAGACTCCTAGATAGTTCCCGTGGCCCCAGATGAACAGCACTCTGTCCTAACCACAGTCCTCTTCTCTACCCCGATATTGCTCCAGCAGCTGGATTCCCCACTGGGAGCAGCAGCTTCCAATGGGCAAGACCACCCCGTTACGCTTTCAGAGTGGTCTCGTGTTTCCAAAAGAGTTGTTCAAAACAAAGCGCAGCACCACGAGTGCCAGAGCTGCAGCATGGCTCTCACCGTCGCTGGCGCTGAGGTACTCTGGGTTAGAAGAAGCGTAGAGAGGCCCAGTTGGTCCTTCGGTTTGTCTGAAACAGAGAGGACAGAGCAAGTCTTCAGCATACCCCCAGGTCTGTGCCTTGCATGTCAGGCACTCAGGCCAAATGCAGCTTACTTGCAGCCACATTGGCTCCCGAAGTACAGGGCAGACTCTCTCAACGTCAGATATTCACATGCAATACAACAGTCCAAGTCACTCAGCAGTGAGGCAGACATTCATTATTTTTTTCAGAAAATAAAGACGATGCCCCCAGGAATAACGAACTTGTCTCTGGGGAAAACATTCTCTTTGCTCTGCTGAGAACGATGAAAGTCACCCACCTCTTTTTCACAAGCACGTACACAATGCCAATAGCTCCAATAATTATTGAGGCAAAAATGATCGGGACAACAATAACAGCGATATTAGGCTGGGCATTCACTAAAAGAGAAAGAGAGGGAGAGAGTGTGCCGCTTTACATATACTTCCAAACAGCATCATGTTGCTAGAATGAAATACCCTCTTGAAGCCACGCAAAGTGCAGGGCGAGACCCTGTCAAGCTAACCGGCAAGAGGTACTCTGTGCCATACAGAAGCAGGCTGAGGCCTTGGCACAGATCTACTCTTGCCAGAGCCCGACGAGTTGTGCCCAGAGCAAGACTGGCAAGAACCTCAGCAGCGCGAAGACTGGGTACCCAAACCCGTTCGCTGGTCCATGCTAAAGACAAGCAGTCTAAGGGCTTGATGAATGACTGTGGATGAGCATCTTGACCAGCTCCCAAACAATTTCTCTCGCACGAGAGGTTCCACCTTCCCAGTCTTCTTGCACTCCCACACACAAGCCCCGCACAAAAGTGTGAAGTGCCTTGGAGCGAGCATTTTCCCACCACAGGTTCATTATGGCACAGAACCTCTCTTCAGTGTCAAGCATAAGCTAAGGAAACTACGTCCCCATGTCGAGGAGTTTCCCAGCAGCTCACGTGCCCACAGGACAGCAGCTTGTTGGGTTGTGAGACCACAGGCTGCTGCCCACAAGAAACGCAGGGTCACACAGGCTTGCAAACTGAACCTGAGCACCCAAAGGAAGTGGAGCAGCTTCTCACAAGACTGCTTCTGTTTTCCAGATGCACCTCCTACTTGTCAAGGCAGACTTCTCCCCCACACCTCCATCCTGCCCAGCCAGCACGGCCTTGCCAGGCCCCCTCCCCCAGAGAATGGCTTGGAGAAAGCAAGCTCACAATAGTCAGCCACGTAGAAGTAAGTCGGCTCTGTCCACGACCCGTTGCCTGCCAGCGAGGTGGCTCGGATCCGGACGCTGTAGTTACCAGGCTGTAGTGCACGCAGTTTACAGCCCTGCTCACTGGCAAACTGCTTACGGGAGACACAGTAGTGCGCTTCCTGGAGGAGGAGGGAAGACAACAGCTTTACTGCCTCTCAGAGAACGTAGCACCATCAGGGGATCCGCAATAACCAAGCATCCTTACCTAGCCCAGGCTGCAAGTCTTCTCCATGCAAACACCTGTTGACCCCCTACAGAGACACAGTGTAATGTCTCCTTGCCTAGGGAGCCTGGTAGCCCTCAAGACTGAGCTGATGCTGGCAGCCAGGTCCCAGATGCAAGGTAACACATGGGAGTGAAGGCTGGACTTCAGAGCGTGCTAGGGGGTGGGCAGCCCGAGCATGAGCTGGCAACTCGCTGTGGGCAGTTTACGGACTGAACACAAGTGCAGCACGTGAGGACTGGAGAGTGCCCAGAGCTCCTGGTCCTTCCTCACAGGAGATAGCTACAAAAGGCTTTTATTGACAGCCCCATGCTTTTATATTCATTTCAGCTGAACCACAGTTGGGTATTGCAGCCAGCAGGATGCTTACTATTCAAGCCTCTGAAAAAAAAGCTAACCTCTAGGCCAAATCAGATTTTCACTCAGCATTAAATGAACATTCAGAAGTGCAAGAAGAGTCCTCAAACAAGGGGAAAAAGAAGAGACAGCCAGAAGGTCAAGACACAAGCCTTCTTCCCAGCTCATAACTTATGGACATATTTAACACTCAAACCTGCTCAGTGACAGAGGCCTATTCCCAACACCACTTATTCATGAAATGCTGCATGGATCCCAGCCCACGGAAAGAAAAGCCACAAAAAACACGTTGCCCAAATAGCACAAAAACGAAGTGAGGACAACTCTGTCCATCCACAGGTCAATGCTCTAAGTAGGGCGGTCTGCTGATCGCCCCAGAGGAAGCACAGAAGCAGCCTGGAGAAGCAGCAAGCAACCAAAGGAGGGCAACGCATGATAAGCTCTTCCAAACCAAGTCCCCTCACGGGTAGTTTAAGAGGTTACCGGCATGCTGGGCTTCCCCCTTTCCTATTTTGCTTCTAAACGTCAGTCGCTAGACAGTGCGATCTGTAGGAGTCCCATTGTATTCTGGGCAATAAAGCCCTGAGGAAGATCCCTGTGCCAGGTTTACAAGTGAGATCTCGGGTTATCAGGGAGCTGCAGGACATAATTTGCAGTGCTGAACATCACCGTGAAGGATGCTACAAGAAGCTGCAGGTTTGCTGGCCAGCATCCATGCCAGTGCAGCTGATAAATACCTGTGCAAGTCAACTAAAGCAGGCTGCCGGCTGCTGATGTGCAAGGCAGCTATATCATGCAACCCAAGCACCCACTGCTGGGCTCTCCTGGCACCATCTGATCCACCCCATAGTCGAGCTGTGCAGCAGGAGCCTGCAGCCAGCTACTCTGCAGCAAACGCGTCCAGCAACACGCAAACCTCTGAAGGCAGAAAGACACCGAGACAGCCAATCCAACTTCCCACTGAACAGCCGCTCCCCAGCAAACTCATGGTGGATGTTAGGGCCAGGCTGTGCGGCACCCACCACATCCACCCGGCGCAGGGGAGGCCTGAGGCAAAGGGCTTGGAAAGTCTCACCTCTGATTCCCCAAGACGTCCATAATTCACTTCATACAGCACGATCAGCCCATTTGGCTCCTTTGGCTCCTGCCACTTCAAATGAACAGCATTTTTTTCCACCAGTTCATGGCTCACTGGACCCACGATGTCATCTGCTTTAGCTAGAACCAGCAGATTTCAATAGATCAGGTTCAAAAATTGCTTTAAAAAGTTGTCAAGAATTTCACAAAATGCAGAACTGAGCTGAGCCAAAAGCAGGGAGGAGGGGAAGGGGGCAGAGGTGGTGTCTGCGCCACCTCCCTGCAAGGCCAGTGCAGCCACAGCAGGTCCCCAAGCATGCTCCAAAAGGCAGCTAGCTCACCAAGGAAGCTGCTGCATCAACACACACTCACCTGACTGAGCCAGCGGTCTGGGCTTACCTTCCGGCATGGTTCTGGCACTGACGTAGGCTGCGACACTGCACCGGGACTCCTGGGCATCGTGGTTACAAGCATGCAGTTCAATACGATACCCAGTAAAATGCCGCAGACCTGAGATAACCGTGGACTCCTTAAACATCACTCTCTCAAAAGGCTTCTGCTCCTCCGTGTTCCCAGTGGCTGCAGCAGAGGTGTTTGGTGAGGAGGTGATGGTGGGCATCACCACAGTGGCATTTGCCACGGTGCCAAGGTCTCTCCGTTTTCTCGACGGCCTGCCAAACAACACATTCAAAATGCTGTTCACTGCGTTTAGCTCAAATAGGTTCATCTGGAGTGAAAGGGTTAAAATGGAGAGCTCAGAGTTCATATGGAAACTCAATGCAAGGTGGGTGCACTTGCGATGCAGCAAAACGTGGAAGTATTCAGGGTTTTGTTTTACTGTTTTTAAACGACAAACCCCTCTTGCCTCTACAGAACAGCCTCTTCATGGCAAAAAACAACAGAAACTAAAGGCTCAGGTATCAGCTCAGTCTGCCCTGTTGAAGGAAACCGCGCCGTTACTAACCCCAAGGTCCCAAGGCACAGGATGCCTCAGACAAGGGCGCAGCACTTGGGAGCTCACCCGGCCTGGTCTCGACATCCGAGCACACGGAGCCGTGTCAACAAGGCAGACCTCTGAGCGTCTTTGGGGTCTCACTACAGACCTGCGCTGGAGGCTCGCTGGGCCTCGGGCACGTTACTCTGAGCCCTGCCCATTCTGCCCCGTAGAAAGTTTTAACCCTTTCAAACACAACAGGGCACAGTCATTTTCTGAATGCTTTCAACATGAAAAATAACGATTTTAGAAACTGCTACTGTCAGATTCACATCATGCGCATTAGTCATACCCAGCGCTTGGTAACCGAGTGTTTTCTGTTAGATTATTGTACAGGAGTTAGTCGATCTGCTTCAACTTCCCGCCATTGCGAACATTAAGCTGCCAGATAAGACTTTAGCAGCTCCCACCCCTAAAAGTGAAAGCTGCCAGTTAATTTTAAATATGATATTTTGCTTCACCAGACTTCAGGCCCACCCGCCAATTTAGATTCTCTTTTTAAAGACTCTGAATGCTGAGTGTCATAATCCGGATTTAGCATTCAATCCCTGCGGCACCTTTTGGGTAGGAATTCCAGGCTTGGAACTTGTGAATGATCAGGAGATCCAGCTGCATCCATGATAAATTACCAGTGGTTGATTAAGAGGAATCCAATTTTTTTTTTAAAGTCACAATCACCAGTTTGAAGGGGACACTGGCTGGCTTTCTACCCATCCTAGGAAACAGAAGGCACCCAGACAGTGCCCACGCTGTGGCCAACTCAGAGTTTAAAAATACAACAAGCAGTTGAAGCAAGTCTTTGCTGCTGAATTGAACTTTCCACCACCACCCACAGACTGCCAAGCAAATGATTGGTTAATTAAAATTGCAACAGGTGATTCCAAGATCAAGCCTTTACCTAGAGTACTCAGCTCCATTCCCTGATGTAATTTTTCTGAAAAAACAAATGCAACCACTTTGAAAGCAGATTTTAAACATTTCCTCTAATTCGATAGCACAAACAAATTTACCAACACAAGGAAAGAACAAGAGACACCAGATGAGATTCAGCTGAGCATGTCCAGTTTTAGTCTTCTCTTGCAATTACTAATTAACTCAAGACACCATTTCTAAGTTGTTGTTGTTGTTACAACAACTGGTGCATTGCTCTGAACTGTGTCCTCTAACCAGGAGGCAGAGTTCAAAGATGCAATTCTAGGTCACAGTAACCACCCCCTGCCCTGAGGAATCTTTATGGCTAACGAGAAACCTTGTTTGTACTTAAAAGTGTAGCTGTACCCACTGCTGATGAAGTGCTGACTCCGCAGTCCCCAAACCAAGATCGTTGAGTTTTTCAGGAGTAAAACAGTAACCCCCCCGCGCAGAGCTGTGCCACTCGGTCATTCACCCTGGGGCGGCCAATGGAAAAATACAAAAAGAACCAAGAGAAGGTCCGGAAGCACGAGTATCCTCCTCCTGGGTATAGAGCATTCCCTTGCTAAGCCTCTCCTTCAAAATATCAATAGGCCATTTTGGCTGGCAGAGAGGCTTGGCATATCCAACCCCCAGACTCAGACTCCCTTCCTCCGTGCCAGCAGGGCTAGCAGCCCTGGGGCAGAGTTTAGCCGCAGTGGTGCAGCAGAGACCAGCTCATAGCAGCCGTCCTGTGCCCTGTAGGAAATACAAGCCTTGCACCCAGGACTCCTCTGTTCAAAGGAAGATGAGATCTGGGCCTCACACGTGATGTTCCAGCTTTCACATCTTCTCCATGTAATGTTCTCCCCCTGCCCTCAGCCCCAGTCAAAGCAGCACTCCCGCCATCCTCAGAACCACTTGCACACCACTTCACTCCTGCGCATAACTTCCCAGTACAAGAACAAACAACAGGAGGGAAGAAATCAGCTGGTGTCAGATGCAAGGGGAAAGGCGTGAAGCCCATCACTGGCATGAAAGGCACCTGCTACCTACAGCCATGAAGGTGTATGCAGTACATGGCCTTTTGAAATCTGTGCCCGCCCTGCCAGAGCACCCATGAGACCCGTGCTAGCACTCCCCCAGCTCAGCCAGCCCGCCACGCATGACCTCCACGCAGACCAGACAAGGGAGGGACTGTGGCTGGGCCTGGCCGGGCAGTGCGCAGCACTGGGCGTGCAAACAGTGCCCAGGGAACAGAGTTCCTGCAACAGGAACAGGGAAGAAGGGGAGAGGACAGGACTGGCCCATTCTATTCTGCAAAACCTGCTGCCACAGGAGGCTCTGCAGCTAAGGGGCTCCCTGCGTCCGGCCACTTGCCCCTGCTGCCTTCTTTGGGGCAGGAGGCCCCAAAACTATTTCTTGCAGGGGGCCCCAAAAAATTGTGGGCCAATCCTGGGAGAGGAGGACAGGCAGGAGTAAGGACAGGGGAGGGGAGGAGAATGAGTGGCAACCCCTCTCAACTGTCCCCCCACCCCCACTTGCTGCCCATGCCCTGCTCATCTTCTCCCCCAACCTGGGCTCCCTCCCAGCAACTGCCCAGGCATCGCGTTCCAGCAGAGTCTGTGCAGCGTGCTGGGGGGACATCAGGCAGACGGAGGGCATAGAAATGAGAGGTGGGTTTAAAGACACATCCTGCTCTGCTGCCAGACCCAGCCAGGCTGCCCTGGACACAACCTGAAAGGCAACATTGCAGGCAGGCTGCATGTGTGGTGCCTCTGATGCTCACTCATCATCGCTAAAGCGAAGGGGGCTGTGTTAACAAGGTCAACCCATGGAAACAGGCTGGCAGTTTCCCCCTCAGCAGGCTGACCAGGCAGCTTTCTGGTGACCCGTTTCTTCCCAGCACACATCCCCCAGCAGCTGACCTGCAACACACCTGAGGCTGGCTGCACAGTGACGTTTAAAAGATCGGGCTGTCAGGACCACTGGCCCAGATACAGGGCGGGCTGCGCATGGGATGGTGACTCGCAGTCCTGCGGGCCCTGCCCCGGGCAGTTCCCTGGTGCTGTGCCTTTCCCAGTGGCACCCGCTCACTTCAACAGCTCCAGCAGCAAGAAAAGGGCAAGCGAGTGACTGCAGGAGCTGCCCCGTGCCAGCAGCAGGCATCCCTCGCTCAGGTGCAGAGGGGCAGTGCTGCTTAGTGGCAGGTTTTTAATAAAACCCTGTGTTGGAGCAGCTTGGCCTTTGTCAGGTGGCTGCACATAAATACCTCATGGTTAAGGGTGGCAAGCACAGAGCCGGTTTCGTGTTTGGAACCGATTCTGACAGCTAAGAGGGCAAATTACCAGCGACTCCAACCCGATTCCCATAGCGCTTTCTCTGCAGCTCACACAAAGTGCGAACACATTCAATATCATTTAACGTGACAGTGTGCGCCATTCAGAACAGGACATTTACCACCCACAGCAGTTACATTCCTCATGGTATTGGAGGCATTTCCCAGGCTAAATACAGAGAAGGCTGCAAATACCGCAGCAGAGGCCCAGGCTCCAGCATGGTAAACTACCCATTTTCTTTTATTTTTAAAAGGCTACAGCACAAGAGCCACGAAGAGTTTTGGGCAGAGCAAAACAGCCATTTCTGGCATCATGCAAGTTCTCAAGTTCTAGCCACCTCGGGCTGAGCAGAGGAGAAACAGCCTGGGAGGATCTCCCAGCACCGTAGTACTGTCCTGTTCCAACGGGTTTGTTCAGCAGCCTCAAACATGCATGTGCCCACACACTGCTGCCTTCACCTGACAGTGAGCCCCAGGGAGACCGGCACTGCACCCGCACACCGTCTCCTCTCCACCTCCCTTGCATAGTCTGCTTGCACCTCCCTGCCCCACACCAACGACACCCTGACCACAACGCAGGACGACGGCGGCAGAGCCCGTTACCTGGGGACGAAGACCTCGTTGTGCAGATAGTTCTCGAACGTCTTGCGGAAGGCAGACTCCTCCAGCTCCTTCTGGATCTGAGAGTCCGTCTTCGGGCAGGAGCAGCACTCCCCACTGACCTCCTCGCTTTCGCTTTGATTGTATTTCTGAGGGTCTTCAGACTCAAAAGGGGGAGACCACGTCCTTGAGGGCAATTTTAAACCTGCGGAGAGAAGATTTCTTTATACCGCCCACATTCCGTGTAGCAGGAGCAGAGGTCCCAGCCAGCCACAGACAGGAAGGCTAGGGAGCTTCAGTGCTGCTCCGCTGCGCAGTCAGAGCAGGGGAGGCCTCTGTGAAAAGGCGAAGGCACTGGTCTGCAGCTGCATGGGAGCCACTGGGGGAGCAGGGCCTGTGCATCCCCTGCAGAGGAGCCCTCCAATCCAGCTACATGCTTGTTTCTCTCAGCTCCCTGGGTACTGCAGCACTCAACGTACAACACAACGAACACCACTGTTCTCCCGTCACACCAAATGAAACGGGCTTAGTCTCAGGACAACAGATATTCTGGCAGCCTCATTTAGAAATGCTGAAGAAGGTGCAGTCCATGACTACAGCCAACACTTTCATCAGCTATTTAGATATTTGGTTGTTTGCTGCGAGGCGGCCAAGGAACACAATCCTGTCTGCACTCCATGTTGGCACTTCAGAGTCGCACCCTGGGTTTACATGCAGTATTGTGAAAGTCACAGCACGGCATGAAACATCCGGGCACAATGACTTTTCAAACACACTCACGCGATGGAGACGTTCCTTCCAGTAGGATACAGGAGTTCATCTGAGGGAAACATTATGCTGAAGTCTAGCAAAAATTGTAGTAATTTTGAAACAAGTGTCCCTCAAGTGTAAGTGGGTTAACACGCCAGCCCGGCAGTTGTCCTCGCGTGCTACAAAAGTCGCAGGCAGACTCTGCAGACAGCTCTAGCCTTTGCCCTCAAAATCAAAACAAAGCAATTTCTCCACTTGGCAGAGTCATTAGTGGGACAGGCACCGACTGAGCAGCTCTTCACACAAGTCATAAACTAAAGATCAGAACTATGTCAAGGGTGTCCCTAGAAGCCCAGCAAGTAGACAAGACTTGCAACCTGCTTCCCACCCTGTCAAGACCCCATAACCCCAGAGAAGCATCTTCCCATCAAGACCCCATAACCCCAGAGAAGCACCTTCCAATTCACGCACGATGGAAGTTGCTTTCCGACAGGCCTGTCAGCTCCAGCTCACAGCACCGGACTGGCACACAACGGAGGTGGTGCTCCAACTGGCCCTGAAGGGGTTACAAGTGCTGGCACGTGGATGACTCTATCTACGTGGAACCCAAATGATGCAGAAAGATAGTCCTCAATTTTGGCGGCTGCTACTATCAAAGACAGCAGGCATCCTCCACAAGGCCATTAGTAAAGGCCTTGCTTAGCCATGATTTAAAATAGGCTTGGTTGTAACCTGAATGAATTCTCACGTGGCTTGGGTGTCTGGCAGCTAGGGTGAAATGCTGATGTTTGGTCTCGCACACTGGCTCCACAGGTCTTTAATTCATAGCTGTGAAAAGCCTTTGGCCTGCTCTGTTCAGGCTTCAACCTAATGCTTAGAAATCGTGCACAGCTCAAACTCTGGTCCTACCACAGCTCATCCAGTCAATACCGGCAGAGCCTTAAGTGACAGACAAGAGATTTTTGGACACTACCCAGTCTCTGACCCTGAGACGAAGCTGGAAGCCAATGGATGGAGTTACAGCAGAGGTTAATTTGGCCCCAGGTCTTCAAAAGCCCAATGCTGTTTGTATCTGAAGAGCTTTTATTAAAGTGGTTGCTCTGTTCAAGAGAAGCAGGGGCAGGGTGTGGATCCCAGGGGGACTGAAGCATCCAATTCTGTTGTGCAAAAATATGTTCACTGCAAAGCTGGCACAAGGCCTGGCAGGAGCAACCACATTGATTCAAGTACACAGAGGGAAAATACAGCCTTGCAAGCTCTTGTACATCACTGCGTGCTCCCAGAGCAATGCTGACAAACAGAAAACCCCATATCCCACTCATCTTCCATGTGCCAGGGAAAGAACCCCAACCCCAGGGCCCTAGGGGCCAGAAGCATCGTACCTTAGGTGCAGGCACTTACCCTTCAGGCAGTAATCGAGCTCGTACAGCTCGCTGTCCTCAGACTGCTGCTGCCAGTACACCAGGTAGTGCGTAATGTTCCCATTGGGCTCCGAGGGTGGCTTCCACTTCAGAATGATCTGGGACGAGGAGTTGGAAACCGATATTGGATCTAACGGGACTGAGGGAACTGAAGGGAGAAAGACGAAGGTCATCACATCACCCTGGCCTGAAGCAGGTGGAACAAAAAGCTACAACCGGGACTGATCACCACTGGTAGGCCATCAGGACTCTGAGCTGCTCTTTCTCCAAGGGGCCTACCAGCAGCTTCATCACCACGCCTGCCTACTATATGGTGGCTTTGGTTAAGAAGCTTCACTCACCTGGGTGACCTCACACAAGCAAACCCAGTCACTGATTTCATTCTTAAATCAGCAAAAGATTGTGAACAAGGTTAACACCCCCTGAGGCTCCCTGCACAGCTGGCCTTATTGGTTTCTCCCCAATGCAAGGACTGTCTTGGGGCCTGTGGGCTTCGTGTGCACATTGCTAGCTCTCAGGCAGGCACTGCTAGGAACTGTTCAGCCTTCCCCAGCGACGGGTCTGCCCCTTGGGTCTCACCCTCCTCGATTATTCACACTAGGCCTCAACTGTGCGGTCTGCCTTCTTTCCATCCAGCACTTAGTCTCAGTACACCTGGCCTTTCAGGGGAGCTGGGCTCTGCACCTCTACAGGACTGGTTACCTCCATGCTAAGAGTTGGCTGAGGATCAAGCAGTTGCAGAAGCAGGAAGCAGCCCAGCAGAGCAGAGAGCTGCAGGAGGCAGGCTCCTACGGGAAGCCCTGGGGACAGGTGGAGCATGCCCGCTCCCAGGGAATAGGCTAGACATCAGGAGGCGCTACTTCACGGTCAGGGCGGCTAGGATCTGGAACCAACTTCCAAGAGAAGTGGTGCTGGCTCCTACCCTGGGGGTCTTTAAGAGGAGGCTGGATGAACACCTTGTTGGGGTCATTTGACCCCAGTACTCTTTCCTGCCATGGCAGGGGGTCAGACTTGATGATCTGCTCAAGTCCCTTCTGACCCTACTAAGAAACTATGAAAAGCGCTGCAGAAGAGCCTGGGCTGAGGGAGGCATGGCCAGCACACGCGCCCAGACAGGTGCAGGCACTTGCTGACAGGAGCCCCATGTGCTGGGCTCCCTTCAAGAGTGTGGCTTGTATTATTCATGGACGAAGAGTCCCAGCGCAATGGCAGTTAGAGCAAGCAGCATCAGGAGAGAGTGCCAGGAGCCACGCAACCTTACACACAGATTGGGAGCACGGATGCTCCATTGTCCCTTGCCCCACACAAGACAATGTTAGTTGATGCCTGCTCACCTGTGGCATTTGTCTGCACATAGATAATTTCACTCTTGGCTCCATAGGTTCTCCTCTCGTCTGAGAAGGTGACCAGCGTTTTCACAAACACGGCATACTGTGTCCAGGGCTTCAGGCCACGCAGCAGCCAGCCCGGGTGGCTCTGTGTTTTTGGCTCATTTGACCGCAGGGGAGGGTCAACATCGAGCACTGTCCAGCTGTTGGATCCGCAGGCGTCTTGGCCATCAAATTCCGTCACATTCTGATAGGGACTGTTTCCAAGAAAAGAGAAAGGGGAAGGGCTTAAACTGATCAAGTCCAAATGCTAGGCTTCTAGGAACAACAATCACAACACATGCAGGACACCAGAGACACCAGCAACCCTTTATCCAAGGGAATCCAAGACCTCAACAAGCAGCAGTCGCATGGTGCTCTAGGGAGGTCTCATTTTACAGACAGAGAAACTGAGGCACAGAAGGAGAAAGGCCTGATCTGTTCAAGAGCAGGATGAACCTGAACCTTGCGGCCCATTGCTCCAGCCATGCCACGGACCCGCATCGCTCACTGTTCCAGACCCAAACCATCCCAAGCCAGTGCACGCCTCGGTCTCCAGCAGAACCCACTCACAGCAGCACCCCTCAAGGATGCTGCAACTGAAAGGAAACTGCCACGCTCGAATGAACCCAGGTGGGCAGCGCTCTGGGAGGGGCAGAGCTGAGTGAGTAGCATCACTCCTAGGTCGTCAGCTAATGCCAGAAGCAGCCAGAACCAAAAGAGTCTCCACGGACACAGCTGAGCTGTTTGACTTTGTTTCTCAGCCCATGGAGAACAAACCACCATTGCTCTTTTGTTCATGCAGACCCGTTACGTGCACTGTAGCATCCAGCTGAAGGGCCGCCAGTGAGTGGCAGCTCCTTTACGAGGATCAGGAATGAACAGGAGCCAACAAGGGGAGCCGTAACTCATCCACTGTAAAGCAGCTCAGCCCAGGGAAAGATCATGTCCAGCAGTGGTCCACACCAGCACCTGTCACCAGCTGCACAGGCCACAGGAACAGCCTGAGGCACCACTGACTCATGGGGTCAGAGTTTGTTCCTTTCTAGACTCGCTCAAATATCTCGATATAATTATAGTGAATTTCCAAGCAGGCTGGGCCTGAGCGGGTGGATCCCTGGCTCAGGTGCCTCATGGCTATGCCAACTCCAGCAGAGTTACAACAGTGAAAACCAGCTGAGAGCTCTCCTGAAGCTTTTCACAATGGAGCAGCTGCTAGTGAGCCAGAGATGGCCCGGGGGCACAGGCTCTACTCGTGTCAGACTGGAGCTCCCCCCACCGCACGGAGCAGAGAAGAGGCAGTCCTTGCTGGGCCTCCAGCACACATGGAAGGAAACGCCAGTCACTGGGAGTGCTGCAAGAAGCTGCCCCCTTGGCAAGTGTGCCATCGCAGTGGCCAGTCCTGCTTTCCTCCCCGCCACACTGCAGCAGATGGGCTTATAACATGCTTGTTTAGACAAACCTTTTATTTAGGGCAGAGCTCTGCTGCTCACCAGGTATGTGCCACTGTATAGGAACAGTCCCCTAAGCTGCCACTTCCCAGTATTTAGGCAGCCCCCAGTCAGAGGGACCAGGAACGCTGTTAGGAAGGCACTGGAACAGTCTGCCCCCACCGACTGCTAGAAGGGCTCTGAGAACGGTCTGGCTACCACAGCCTGGCCTGCAGCAGAAGCCAAGTCTATAAGGTACATCCTCTACCCTGCCTGCTGCCTGACTTCAGACCTTCACAGGTACCTCTCTTTACCCGGGCACATTAATCCAGATGGAAGTCTGGTGCTGCAGAAGGACTTTCAGCCCCTGGACTAGTTCGCTTTAAGCCATCTGGGGTCTCTGTACTACCATGTGGATGTACCTGTAGCCTTTTCCTTCGAGACTGGCTTTGATTTGAGCCTGTAAGACACCAAATACTTAACACAAAAGAAGCATGTGAGGGATCAGCTAGGATTCAGCCTCACCCAAGCCAGGCTGGTAACTCTGGTTTTAGAAGAACGACTCCTGTCTGAAAGGGAACAAGATGACTCCACCCTAGGTGCGGATCCCGAGGTGATGAAATCTGCAGCTTCAGTAATTATTTGCTGATCTGAGCAAGTTCCAATTTTAATTTTTAGGTTAATCTTTAAAGCAAGGTTTTGGCTGTATGCCTTAGCTGAAGGAGTCCTAAACGGCACCTGTACAGGGAAAGGGGACATTGGAAGCCTATGCAAAATTGCCAGGCAACTCAGAGGCTCAAGAGCAGTAGCAAAAATGTGACCTCTGCTCTATTCCCTTTCCGAAAATTGGTGTGACAAAGCATGGCTTTGGAGCCCGGATTCCCTTGAAGCCTACGTACGCTTCTTTGTAGAAGAGCATAAATCCCAGGAGATCACGGAAGTCAGGGGGCCAGTACGGCTCCCACCTCAGCAAGATCTTGTCGTGGGACGTTCTGATGAAAGAGAATTTCAGCAGCTCATTCTCACCTGCAGTAAGGCAAAAAGGACACTCATTTAAAAAAAAACAAAAACAAAACAAAACAAACAAACAAACAAACAAAAACAAAAGCAAAGTTTTCTGTTTTTAATCATTTTTTTTAAAGTTCCCATTTTCCACAAGCACATTCATAACACCCAGAAACACTTGGAGCTAGAAGAACTACATGCTGCATCCCAACATGAAGCTGTTGAGGGATGCGTGAAGTATTATGAAAGATCCAAGAGAGCTTCTGAGTTTGCTCAGCACACTCACTTCACAGAATCTCTGTTCAGCAAGGCATCTGCCTTCAGACCTGCTCCCCACAATTTGCTTAAACACCACAGTGCTTGTGCAGAAATGACAGATACTTTACTGGGCAGTGTGCATGCATCGGCAGCCATCAGTAGCAAAGTGCATTAAAGAAAGAACTGAAGGAGGAAGGTTTGCTCAGGGTTGCACCAGCCCTTAGTAAATGCTTGCCAATGTAACACACACGGCTGCTCTCGTGAAGACAGCGTGAGCAAGGCAAGGGGGAGTCTACGCAGAACAAGAGAAAGGAAAGCCGTTCTGAACAGATTTTAACACACTTAAGTTTGACCGTTTTCTACTATGCTGTCTACAGCGCAGATCCTCTGCAGCGTATTCCGAACAGTCAGTAACAGCTACTGCAGAGACACAGATATTAACTGTGGTCAATGGAAAAAAACAAAAGCTAAATGGGATAAAATTCAGGCTTGTCTGCAGTGGCCAGCCCAGCAAGACTGCAGAGATATCACAGTTTGTCTCCTGCTCTCCTCGGATGTGCCCAGTCCTGCCAGACAAGAGCCTGCCTCTCTGCAGAGAGGGGAGACCAGTGACAGCAGTCACTGCAGGAAGGGGAAGAGGGCTTCAGCATCTTATGTCCAAGGGACCCAAAAAAGGACCAGCTGTGCAGTGCTGATTGGATATGTCATCGTTCAGTAGCCGCACGAGGGAGGAGGAACGTTTGCTTCCCCGGTCCAGAACAAACAAGGCTGCCTTTACAAACAGGATGCTGCCAGCTCGAAAACTAGCCTTGCAACATGAAAACAAACAACGCAGCCAAACACAGCAGCAACACGCGGTCTGGGGGCATGGAGAGGAGCGCAGCAGAACAGAGGAGAGCAGGCAGAGACGAGCTCCCGCAGCTGCCAGGAACAAAGCAGCCAGCCAGCCCCACTGCTCTGCCCGGGAGCTGCGCACAACCACATACAAGCATGGTTTGGGCTCCCGTTCCCCACTCGCGGGCCTGGGAAGAGCTGTCACTGCCCCCAGCTGCAGAAGGATTCTGGAGTCTGCATCCCCAGTGACAGCTCGTGTACTTGCCACGGGAAGGCCTTGTTTTCACGGGGCACCTTTAGGCTGTGAAAAGGCAGAACCCATCTCTGAGAACAGCCTAAGGCTACTGGAAGCAGGGCTGCCTCTCTGCTCCCAGGTTCTGCTAGAGCAGAACAGATTTAAAGGGAGAGTGGTAGCTTCAACGCACCAAAATTCACATTTCTCCTGCTGTTGTCACAGGAACCCTCTGGACTGCTAGAGCCATTCTCAGTTTGTTTCTTTTCTGTGCAGTCAGCAGCACTGCTTCCCCTCGCCCGTGATGGGAAAAGGGACTGTCAGGTACACGGCAGCACCAGGGCTTTTAGGGCCCAACAGGAGCTAACACCACACCACACCAGGGGCTGTGCATGGACTCCAGAATGTGCAGCCTCTGCCCTGACTTGCTCACAACTGAGCAGCAGAAGTGGGAGGCATGAACACCATTTGTAACATGGCTGGATAACCACAGAACCTGGCAGGGGCCAGACCTGAAACCGCTTCTGGTTATGGCAGGGTAACAGTGCCCCTTTACTGTGGCAGCGAGTGGGAAATGGTGCATCTGGGGCTTTCTATGAGAATGCAAGCAGCAGTCCTTGCCCCGAGGAGTTCACACCCCAGACATGGAGGAATGAGGACGCATGTGCGTGTGCCCATACATATGCCAGCAATTCTCAACCAGGGCAGCACAGCACCCTCTCATGCCTTAAGATCCTTTCAAGGGGGTCACAGGGTCCCCATGTGATGTCAGCACTGCTAGGTGTGAAACTATGATTCACAAGATAAACTCAGAGGTTTCCAACAGGAATCCACAGCGTTAAAAACGTTCTGCCCTGTTGTGGGTTCTGAGGTCTTTGCCACAGAAGAATCACTCTGGTATTTTTCTGTAGTAAAAAAATGAACGAAGACTAAGGGCTGCAAGGGGCACCTTGAGGCTAAAGAAGGTTGAGAACCAGACATGCAAACAGCACTGGTCCCACTGCATCGCGAGACTTACAAGAGGCCTGGTCGCCATTCGTCTTCAGGGCTATGTCGTTCCTCTCCTGACGTCCCTTAGTCCCAGAGATCTCCTCCATTTTGTGGATTTCGGATAAGCACAGTTTGGGGTTGTAGTGGAAGAAGAGCTTCCCCCGTGCAATGGTGAGGTTGTGCTTGCTCCAGTCCCAGAGCTGGCGCAGGTTCTGATTGTCCAGGGCGTAGAAGGAGTAATTCCTGCAGCGAGAGGAATGGATTGGAGCAAATGCTCGTGAAATGGGCCTTTCTCCTGCACTAATCCAGGGCCGGACAGAAATCCATGTGTACAGTAGCTCAGGGGCAGGCTGCAGCAGAGCAGAGCAGCAGCCTACTCCAGAAGAGTTTGCCAGCACCACCCTCAGGACCTGCGCTGCCCCCCCTGCAAGGGCACTGGATTAAAGCAGCTTCTGAAAAACACTCACCCAGCTTCTAGCGTCTCCCCTTTAATCAGATGCAGTTTACGAAAGAAAGAGAGAGAAACCAAGGCATAGGAGCGTCGAATTTTTAGGTACCCTGAGATTTCTTCAACCAAGCCAAGATTTGCTTCTAGCTCAGCTGCTATGTTATCTGAGGAGAAGAAATAATGACTGGTTTAAGCTTTTGGATACCGGTGACTGGCACAGCAGGCCCCCGAGAGACCAGGTGTCTCTGTACCTCCCTGTATCGACTTAAACAACATTTCAAGAATCAAACCTGTAAAGCCATTAGCATCACAAATGCCTGCACTTGGCTGTTACTTCCTGCACTCCCCCCGCCCGAGCTCTGACACTCTGGAGACACCTCAGACTCAGTGGAAATCATCAATCCCCCCACAGTCCACCCCCGCTTCCCCCCTCCATGGGCTCCTCTGAATTGCATGATGAGAGCAGAGCTTACTTCCCCCACGGATGTTTATGACTAAGCTTCCATTAATGATGGTGCAGCCACGGAGCTCCTGTGCCGACGTCACCGAATCGATGGTCTTCTCCTTGCCAAAGTCGCACACCTTGGGGCAGGGCCCCGCACAGGGGGTGCAATGCAGGCTGAAAGCAAAGAAAACACCAGGTTTTAGTCTGACCCAGGCTGCTCCGGTGGAGCTCGTGTGCATGAGGCAAGTCCCCGAGAGCAAGGCCCTGCTGAGTCCTGGGTTTGCTACAGGACCCGCACACAACACAGCAAAGGACCCAGGAGAGAACCCTACTTGCAGAGTCCCAGCCCGCACCAGGAGGAAGAGCTGCTCTATGGGGCATTAAGCTGTTCCCTCTGAATGGCAATCAGAACAAACGAGACCATCTGCTAGTTGTGGTGCCTTTTCTGCTCACGTTCACTAGCCCTCAGCAATGGCACACTTAGCGAGCCAGCCACACAAACCCGCCCGCCGGAGAGGCCCTTGCACTGCACTGCTCACCTGCCGAGACAGGGCTCTGAGGATGAGACAACTACCACTTCCCTCCTCACCTGAGCACCTGTGCGATGCCCCTTCAGCAGCATTCACTGGTGACCATTACTGTGAACACCTGCTAAGGCTGGCAGCTCACCAGCCCCTCATGCCAAAATACCACATCCAGACCTTTGGGACTATCCACTTGCTCAGTGATGACTTTTAGTTCTTTACCAGAACAGGACAGAAGCCCCTGCTCTTAAATTCAATTATTGCTGCTTGTGACAACCAGCTCGCAAACCGCACACAATCTCCATCCTAAAATAGCCTCCAAACAGCTGGAGGACCCTCCTCAGACCACTCCTTGAGGATGATATGCAGGACAGTGCTTGCAAATTAAACAGGGCTAGGTTGAAGGCTTTGGAGCACGCGAGCATGGCCTTGCTGTCACGTGAGAAAGTCCGACATCTGTCCTTGAGTCTGAACCCCCGGCACCTCATCTGCTTCCAACCTGTCCAGAGAAAGATGAGCTTCATCGCCTCTAGGGAAAGCACGGGGGTCTTGTGCTCAAGTGCCAGTGCCAGTAGGACCAAAGCCAGCAGGTGTAGGCAGCAGGCCCCTGCTATCAGATGAGCAATGCGCAGCTCGTTACTGGGGCTGCTGATCATATTCCAGATGTACAAAACAGGAAACAGACCAAGACAGCCAGCCACAGAGCCAATTCCCCAAGACTGCCACGCAGAGCAAACACACACGAAGACAAAGCTGCGACATTCGTAGAAAATCTGACTCATCCCAATAGATTACGGTACGGTGGGAAAAACAGCCTCCTTGATAAACAGCTCAGCATACACTGGGTTTGCCCTCACAGCCCTGGGAATAGGAAGAAAAGGCTGCTCCTTTCCTTGTCACATTCAATACTTGCCTGCTACGTTGTCACTTACCCTGGCAGAGCCCGAGCCGTCCTGGTGATCAGACACGAGGGACGAGGTGCACGGCTGGTCTGCTCTACATGCACTGTGCTCTCCTGGCATTGGGCAAATGTTTTTGGTTCTGATCTACAAGGCCCGCTGAATCAGGGGTCTGCCCGGGATGGGGTGGGAAGGGGAACACAGCTGGAAGGTCTTAGCACACCTGTTTTCCCACGTGTCACTGCAACTTTGCCCATCCAGCTCCTTGAGAGCAGGAGCCACACGGTTCTTCTGTGACACTGCCTTCCTCCAGGAAGATCCCCTTTGCCTCCCTCCCTGGGCTCTCAAGCATGAGAGGATCCTTACTAGGCAAGACCCCCCACACCTCCTTCCCCGCTCTTCTTGACCTCCCTCCACAGCTCGGCTCCTCACCAAGGGGCAGTCGGGGAGCACAGGCAGCCTGGAGGAAGCTGCAGCCATGTGCAAGGTACAAAACATGAGCCCTTACAGCAAAGAGCTGGAAATGGGTTCATTGATAAATCAGAGGAAGGTCACTTCAACAGCACAGCACTGAGACTGCTTCTCAGCCTAGACACAGATGAGGGGAGTGGGAGCAGGGCAGTGGTGCGTTTACCCGGAGACATCACTTACTTGCTGGAGTTCATGGTGTAGCCAGAGGGACACTCGTGCACGCACTCGTTGTTGTGGATGACGTGGCACCCCGACTCCCTGGCGTTCTTGCACTTGTTGTGCAGGTCCTGGCAGAAGCTGAAGGTCACACAGCGCCAGCCCTCGAACCGGTAGTAGCTGGGCGGGCAGGTCTCCACACACGTGCCGTTGAGGTAAAAATTGCGACAAGCCACACACTTTTCAGGACTGTTGGGCTCGGCGCAGTCGCCCAGGCACTCGCGGTGGCAGCACCGTCCGTCCGAGGTGCAGCCTTGAGACTTGCAAGCGGTAGGACAAACTGCAACAAGAAAGCGTGAGCAGCACTGATAAGAGCACGCTCATCCACCTCGCCGCAGGCCCCGCCACCCGCTGCACACTTCGTCACTCCTCTCCAAGCAGTCCAAGGAGAAGGGCACCCGCAAGTCTTATTGCCTGAGGTTTTCATGGCCTGTTTTTAATTATCCACTACTTAGCACCACACAATACTCTTAACGAGTGGTCTGTTTCCAAGCAAAAACCACAGGCAAAACACCAGGAGGATGCCAAGGAAACTCAAAGCTGGTGGAAAGGAAGAGCATTCCTGCCGCATTGCTCACTGCTTGCTCAGGACCTCTCCACACCACCTTGCTAGTAAACTTCCACTGCGGAGTGACTTGAGGAACAGCTTGAATGCAATTGCCTCACTCAAAAGAGCCACCACATTTCAATTCACAGGGTTACAATGAAAGTCAGAGGACAACTCTGGGTACAGTAAGCCAAATGCAAGCAGCTTTGATTCAGCATAGCACTTAAAAATAGCAGGAGGTGCAACTCAAGAATGGGTGTGCAGGGGACTGGAGTCAGTTGTAAGGTGCCAGATCTATTTGGACTACAACTATGCACTGCCAAGTATCAGATCAGGACATAGTCCTGCTCTACTGAGTCAACAGGACTTTTGCCAAGGGGAACAGGATCTGGCCCTTGGCCTGAAGACACATGAGGCAGGACCTACAGAAATGGTTCACTGCCACTATGCAAAGCAATGTTTGGATGAACTCTCTGGTGAGGTGCGGTGACCAGACCAGGTAACCCCATATCTAACAGCAGCTGCCAGAAGGGACCCATCGCAAGGAGCTCAGTTTTCTGGGCGAGCAGCATGAACACAGGACGGGCCTGAACAGGGGAAGTCCCGGACACACCAGTGTGCAGGGGCTGGCATGCTGTTTTATCTTCAGGCTGCCTCGCTGCAACAGGCCAGTGCTGGAAGGGGTTTACTTCCATTCACCAACATGAATCGTACCGAGCTTCAATGGTGCAACATGCCACCGAGGCTCTCACGATGATCACCAGCTGCGATTAGAAAGACTCCCCCCTCCCCAGCCGAGGAGCAGGACGGCAGAATGAAGTGCGCTACAAGCCTGCCGCCCTCCTGGGGAGCACCAAGCATGAACCGCTGTCGCAGACAGGACAGCGAAGGAGCCAGACTACCGCTCCCCTGCGGTCTGGCACGCCCTTCGTTCAGCCATGGGACAGGTAAGGTCCAAACTATCACCAAGCTAAGCACGCTCGCCTAAGCACCAGGCTGCTCCCGTCTCACAGGATGCTCTCCCTGCACTTCTCGGACTCTGCTCGAGCACGCGCAGGACCCAACTCCTGCAGCTCCAGGCACCTTCTGGCATCTTCAGGAACAGATTCACAGTTAGAGACGGCATCAGCCCGGGGCTCATGCACTGCAAGATCAGCTGTTTCACAGGAAGGGCAAGCGGCACGGCAAGAAAACCCGTCCTTAGGGAAGGCCTCTTCGTAACAGTAACCACTCACCAACTGGGGTCACGTTCCTAGCATGAGGGGGACCATCTATTCCCAAAACTCATTTAAGCTTCTCTCTAGTTGTTTCTTATCTGCACAACAATCGAATCCCTTTGGGATCTGGCAGCAGGAAGCCTGAGAGGCCAAGGGCATCCTTCTTCCAGCAACTTGGGCTTTGCTGCCTCTCCATGCAGCCAGCGCCCTCTTTTCTCTGGACTAAGGAAGAAGGGAAATGGGAAGGTCCAGCCCACCTGCTCTGCCTCACTGCTCCTGTACAGCTGACATCCGCTCTCCTCGGAGGAGCGAGACCAGCCTGTCGAGTTTCTCAACGCCCCCGGTCACACGTGTGACCCACCCGATTCCCCCTTGAGTGCGCCCTTCCTCCCCTCTTTAGCCTGGACCAGCTCGCCATCCAGACCTTTGCTTCAGCTCGGCCTGAACAGCGGCCAGTGTCCCATGGAGGATGCAGGGCCCCTCACACCGCACCCTGAGTGAGCAGCCAGCGCACAAGTACCAAGAAAAGGATCCACAGAAAAACGATCCATTTCCACCCTCAGGCTAACCTGTAGACCTGCCCGGGGTGATCCAACATGGATCTGGCTCTTCCCTCACGAGATCCTACAAATGGGGAGTGCAAAGTGAAGCATCCTGCAGAGACTCGCCCAGCAGGCTGGGGCCAGGGCCAGTCTGCTGCTCCACCCACTAGGCTTCCCTGCCTGGTTTCCTTCCACAGAAAGCCTAAGCAAGCCCCAGAAACAAGGGGTGGCACCCCTGGCTTCCCACTTCAGAAGTCCTCATACTTTTGATGGACTGTCTCGTTTCCTGCCTCCAACACACGTGTGTAATCCTAGCCCTACTCCTGGGAAAGCTTCTGGCTTCCCCGGTCTCGCCTCGAGGGGCTCCGCTTTGAAGCAGAAGAGACGTCTGCACTAGGCCTGCGAAGACGGGCATGGCGCCGCCCGTACTGCGCAGCCAGAGTCGCCCCCGAACACAGCACCAAGACACAGCTGCCTGCGGCCAAGCCACTTCGCAAACGCAAACGCCAGCGACCATTACCAAATAAAAAGGCTTCAAATTCAGGTGGTGACTTTGATGGGTATGTTAAACAAAGCAAACAGATAGAAAGTACCACAAGATATACATTCCCCCGCCTTAGACCTGGACTGCGTCTGTCTGCTTCAGGAGAGAAAAGAGCTTTGCAGATAATTTACACCAAGTGGTTCAACAAGAGCGACACTGAAACCACTAAACGCTCACTGGACAACCACAGAAAAATGTCACCGGCTACGTAAGACCCGAACGTGCTGCTCAGACCTGTCAAGTCCAGCGCTCGGAGGAGCAGCACTGGAAGATGGCTGTTTTCACAAACACGTGGCCATTGCTATAAAAGACTCCCATCATAAACAAACCCAGAAGGAGTAACAGGCAATTACTTTCAGCATCGTGTGCCTGGCAACTTAAAAAAAAAAGAAAAAAGAAAGAAGAGTCTGCATAAGAAGTTAACATTTAATAGCTTTGTTTTCTACGCTCCTGTAAACAACATGCTTTCCACCGTTTCACGATTTCAGGTTCAAAGTCACAGAATTCAGGATGATTCAGTCTGGAGGTAACCGTGTGCAGGAAACGCACGCTCTCAAAGTCCTTTGCGTAATTGCTTTACTCCTGCGAGGTGAAGAAAAGCATGAAACGTCTCGTAAACAGGGACTCGCCCCCCGACCCTGCTGGGATGACAAGGCAGTAAACACGCAGCCTTGCTCTGGGGCCGTCCTGCCCTCTCCCCCCATGTCGGCAGAGCAGGTCCTGCGAGGCAGGGCTCGGCCTGTACGGGACACGGGGCGACGGGCCCCCGGCACACGGTGCGCTTCGGGCGCTACGCTGACGAACAAGAGGACGACACGGCTGCCCTGCCGCGCGCCCCTAGTTTTACACCCAATTGAGGAGGGCCTGGGCGCCCGCCCCATCCCCAAGATCTGCCCAAGGGAACGGCCTTCCCACGTGACCACAGGCTCCAGCTCAGGTACGTGGTACACAAGCACGAAACAGAACCACGAATTCAGAACAAAGTTCGTTTCCTTTGATGCTGGGAAGTTTTGCGCTTCTGTTGTGATAGCGTTTATACGTTACGAACCTGACACTTCCAAGCGGTAACCGAGCAAAGTCCAGCAGGCGAGCACAGAAACCACCCACCCGCAGGTGATTGCTGGATTTGGACGAAGCATAAAACGAAAACAGAAAAACCAAACCAACCCATTACAATAAAGAAATAAAGGAATAAATCAATCAATCGGGCAGCACGGTGCACCCCCTCCCCCTGCCCCAACTTCATGTGATGGCACGGGGCTACCTGGCACCTCCTAATTAGACACAGCAAGACAAGGCAGCCAAAGGAGAAGTGTGCCCAAAAAGTGTATAAACAACCTGTGAATGATACTAGACTAATTACTCTGGCAAGCCCTCAAACCCAAAGGTTACAAAAGGTTGTCAACAGAAATAAAGCAACAGAAAGTTCCAGAATTGAGTCCCAAACTCCAAACACTTGTCGGCTCTGCCGTCTGAAGTGGAAGTTCAGACCAGGCCAGACGTCTCCCGGGTCTCACCCAGCGCACGCGGACGTGCTCCTGTTGGGCGCGGGAAGCTGGGTGCAGACTCCTGCCATGGCCCAAGGACTCGGGGCTGCGCAAGGGGTCTGCACGGGTCTGGCCCACACTGCGCTGGGCCCCTGCGCACAGCTGGGCTGGGCGCCGGCTGCCACAGGTGAACGTTTTGTGCTGCACCGCACAGGACCCATGCGTGGGCCAGACCACATTGCTGTAGAGGGCCCAAGCCCCGCTGCTGCCCGCCCCACCGAGAAAACAGCGGGCGCGGCACCGCAGCATCCCCGGATTAGGTCAAGGACGATGAACGAACATGTCTTCAATTCATCCCCTTCCTAAACGTGCTCCCATGGAGCCGGAAGAGGGCTGTGGCAAACAAAAGCCAGGCAGTTCCCAGGCGCCTCGTAACCTGTCTTGGCCAGAGGCAAAGGGATGTCCCCTGCACGGAGCACGGCGTCACGACATGCCCAGGAGGCCTGGAGGAGCCAGAGCTCTGCGCATCAGGCAGGTCACAGAGAAAACCCGCACGAACGCAGAGCAAGCATTGACAGGGCATTTGGCACCTATTCTATAACATGCCACACAAGGTTTTTGCACTTGTAATGGAAACCAGGGCTCCAAATCCTACGCTTATTTTATGGTTTATAAATTTGGCTGAAAATATTCAGAGCAGAAGTTCTCAGCTCTAAGGATTGTTTTAAATAGACGACAAGCTGTTTTGGAGCAGAGCTGGGAGGAGCAGCAGCACAGTACAAGTGTTTCTCACATTTTTGTAGGACAACAGGAAGGAGAGCAAGGCAGCCAAGCAGCTCCTTCATTAAGCATTCAAGGCAGGCTGCGTTTGCTCTCTATTTGTACAGCTCCGAGCACAGTGGGCCCTAAGCAGGTTAGCCTCAAGGTGCTACCGCAATATAAA